TCACAAACTCACGACTCAACCTCACCATCGCCATCTTCATTCTTCAGTCTTCACTTACAGTCACTAACTCACCATCGCCATCTCTCTCACTCACTCCTTCCACCATCAAAGCGAAGATCGTCAACAACCCCAAATCGTCAGTTCCTCTCCTAAATCCCTAATTGAAGCCCCAAATCGATCGTAAGTATTTATTCATCTCCATATCTCATCTCTTCTTTTACCTTCCATCTCCATATCGTAAATACAAATAATCCCTAATTTTTTGTAGTTGTTGGTTTCTTTTTTTGGTAAATACCAAGAAATGGGTTTTTAAATTTCTTTAGATTTGCTGAATTTTCTTTTTCCCTTTCGAAATCGTAGTGTTTTCCATTATAAATTGCTGAATTTTCTACCTTGTTTTGTGATGGATGCTTTGACTATGGATTGTTGGATCTTCATTCATAGTTTGTTTTCTGCTACAGGACAGTGAAGAAAAAAATGGTTTGTTTTTTGATATCATAATGATAATCTTAAATACAAGTTCGATTTTTGATCTTTCTGTTTTTATGTTAGGGTCTAATTGAAAATTGCTTGGAGTTTAAGGGGAAATTTTGATTCAAACTGCCTACATTTTATGCATTGATCTCAATGCATCTGATGCATTTTAATTTCCTTGTGTTCTTGACATTGAGGCATGTGATTCTGAATCATTTATAAATTAAGATACAGCTGAATTGTTGCGTTCAATTTTTGAATTCAATTTCCTTAGTTATTTACATTTTGAAATATTTATGAGTTTATGGTTTGATTTGAAGTGGGAATTCTTATTTGTGCGAATGTTCATCTGCAGTCATTTGAGTCAAATTATCTTTGATAATAGAGGGACTAAGTTAAAGCTTGTACTTTTCGTGGGAAATTTGATGAATTTGATGATTAATTTTGTGGTTCAAATAATTGAAATAGGTGGATTACCAGTAAACAGGTTAAATAATAGGTAAACATTTATATACGGAATCCAAATAAAAAGTTTTTGCTCACAATAGGTTCAACATAAGACAGAATCCGATGGTAATACATTGATATTGACATATTGTTTCTGTAGTTTTATGATCATTGATGCTTTTTTTAAGACTTAAAGTTGCAGGATGCTTATCTTGTTCACTTATGAAATTGAACTACTTCTGTTCTACTGTACTACCTACAGTTATTATGGACTACTTTATTCAGTATCTGTAATACTTAAAACTTGGGACATGGTTAAAATTCCTTTTGATTTATTCTCCCACCCCAAACAAAGAATTTGTAGGTTTGGTATATTGATCATCTTAAGGCTAAAAATTATGTGCTCTTATTTGTTTATACTACTTAAACATTAGCTATTTATTGATATCATAATGATAATCTTAGAAGAGTCATCTATAATCATACACAAACTTACCCTGCTAATATAATGTTGTCTTTATATATTAGTAGGCTGAATTAAATTTTAGGGATGAATAATTAAAGAAGCATAATTCTAAACTTAAAGTTTGTATTTTGTAAATTATAGGTAGCTTTAACTTGAGAATGAAGAACCTTGCTCGCACTTCAGTCCAGGAAGGAAATAGAGTGAAGTGGGTGTGATGAAGTTGGCATGAAGATAAAAAAAAAATGTATTAGTATTAAGTTGGCTATTTTGTTTGTCTTTTTATTAAATTTGTAATTGTAATTTGGGTAATAGACTCTTTGTTAAGTTGGCATTAAACAACTTGTGGATTAATTTGTGGATAATCATGCATTGTATTTTCAATTTTATTAGAAGAATTATTTGATTTTAATTTTTTAATAAGAATTTTCAAAAATTCGGATAGATTTCGGATATCCAGTTATCCGATCCGAAAAATCGGATATCCGAAAAACCGGATATCCACATATTTCAGATCAGATACGGATCAGGATATATCCTGATCCAAAAATTCGGATAGGATCAGAAATAAAGCCATTCGGATCGGATATCCAGATTTGAACAACCCTACATATGTTTGTCTTGAACTAGATTCCATAGGCTCATTGTGAAGACTATCTTGACGCCTTATGTTTTGTTCAATTATAGTTCTTCATTAGAAAACTTTCTTTCAGTAAAAAACTTGTCCATAACTAAAAAAAATAAAAGAATTTTTATTATCAAAAATACAATTTATTTGCAATTACAATTAAAAAACAACACAAAGTTATCAAAATTCAACTCATAACTTAGGTTTTTCAAACAATTTCTACTAAGCCAATAAAATTCAACTTATAAACCCATAAAAACTTATCAGATCCAACTCTAAATATCAAGCAACTAACCAATATATCGAAATTAAACAAAATCCCCAAATCTCTAAAACTTAGGGTTTCATCAATTCTTTAAACCATATTCAAAATTAACTAAATAACGAACCACAATTTATCAAACCCAACTTAAAACAGCAATTAATTAACCCATACCCCAACATAAATAAGATTAAATCAAAACCCATATCAAAATCTAGGAATTATTTTAAACTCAAGAAAAACTCATAACTTATGATATTTCATTAATTAAGAAAACTAAAAAAAAAAAAAAGAATTAATTTTAAGTAAACAAATAAAAATAAAATTAGTATCATCTTATCTTGTAACCTAAAGGAATAACATTTCTTGAGTATCCAACCAAAGGAAAAATATAATATAAGAGGAAAAGAGAGAAAATAAAGAAAAGAGAAAAGTTTAAAAAATATTAATTAATAATTTATTTTATGGGATTAACATGAAGTTAAATATAGTTAAAATTGTAAAATCTATAAATTATTATACTTTTTTGAAATTTTTGAAAAGTTCAATTGAACCCACAAACCACTATATGGCTACGTGCCTGTTCGGATCAAAGTTTATAAACAAGAATATACACATATCATGTCATAATCTACGATTTTCATTTTCATACTTGTTATTTGAGTCTAATGGTGTCTAACCCGGTTTACATGCATCTCAATTAAATTTTTAGAACTCTGAAACTACCAATTAAGTAACAATTTCATTCGGTTTACGTGTATCTCAATTAATTTTTTAGAACTCTGAAACTACCAATTAAGTAACAATTTCATTTGCCACCTCTATTAGCAATCGATGAAGGACTCAAATTCAGAACAGTTTTAGTAATACATTCAAGAGTTCCTATAAAACCACTAAACCACTTAGAATTGGTTATAATATTTCAATTTCACTTTAACGGAAAATAGTTCTTTTATAATCACAAAAAAAGGTTTAATAATTATTATTTTTTAACGGACAAATCAAATTGATTATTAGCTTTTTTCTTTTTTTTTTTAATTTTTTAGTATTTCATACCAATGCTCTGATTAATAACATTATCAATTTTATGAAGACAAAAAAATAATTACATTATTATTAAAGGATAATTAGTAATGGGTTATGAAATTGTTTTTAATAATTGTGAGTAGCCATTATATTAATTGATCCCATAATAGTTATATAATAAGGATACTACAGTATATGGTTTTTGTCTTAAAATAAGCCGCCACTTTTGAAATATTATAAAAAGTTAGAGATATGTAAAATCACAATCACAAAGCGATCATGCTTTAAATTACTTTTCAAACTAGGACACTATAGAGAATTTGAAATGATAACCTTTTTGATTCCTTTTATATTATTCAGATTCATTCATTAGTGTCTAAACACAAAACATCAAGAATCTTTCATAAAATAACAGTTAGGCCCTTTATGTCTTTGAAGTTGACACTTACCTCCTTTACATTTTAAATAGTATCAATCACATCACAGGTTCTCGTTCGTGTTGACAAATGTTTATAATGTATTTGAGCGGTTAAAGTAATCATTTTGCTCTTTATTCACATAAAGTGCAACTGTTACAAATTTGACTTCAAATTCATGGATAATTTCACATAAAACAACGGGAAAAATAGGGGGAAAGAGGAATTATTTGTAGTGGAATTAATTAAAATAATTCCATATTATATCTTTTGAAAAGAAAACATTTTTTTAATACATTATAATGATACTATATATATAACACAAGTTTAAGGCCATTGGATAAAAGCATCGTGGTTGGGATTCAATACAATTTGCATAATTAATGCACTTTGAAAAATACCATATTTAGATGTAATCTCAATTATTCACATGCATCAATCTAACTAGTCAATATAAATTAGTTGGATCCTTAAAATAGTTAATTTTCAATTTGGTATTGTAATTGTTGTATGAATATTTGGTTTATTTATTTATTTATTTTTTTTTTTGTGATCGGGAGTGTTTAAAATAGCTTGCGTGTTTCTCGACTAATCTCTCCAGACCCTGAAGTTAACGATTGGGTAAACCTTCAAGTGGTCCACCCCTAATAGCAATTCAGATAAATCAAACATTTTTTATCAATTGTTCCAAGCAAGTTGACTGCATTTGATGGTTGATTTTGATTTGTGCAGCTATGATAAATAAAGAAGACAAAAATATATAATGCAAAAGTTTTTGAAAGAAATAAAATTATATATAAATTTAATAGGAACAACATAATGAATAAATAAAAATATTATTAATTCAGATGTTTTAGTATTTAGATAAAAGCCAATTTTTTTTTGGCTTTTTGATATACAAATAAGTGAGTAGAGCGGAATCTACAAATATTAACTTGGTCAAAATAGAAAACTAAGTGAAATTAATAATTTGTTTTATGGGTGAGGTCATCAGCTCCCTTGTGGCATGAAAAGACAAAATTGTATCGGGAGTTGATAAATATTTTTGAAAATGTTTGAGGAGGTAAGTGTTACTTTCATATACGTGAAGGGTCTATGTGTTGTTTATTACGTATTAATAATTTATAATTCCTTTCCTCTTTAAGATTCTCTTAGGATTCGGTCCACGTGTCAGATAATGACTGGTCCTTCAACGAATCCGAACGAATCTTCTCCATTATCCCCGCCATCTACCAAGACTAAGATCTTACTCATTCTTTAATCACCACAACCTATAAAAAAATACATAAACACACGAACCTATCGGAATCATGATGGATTTACCATATCGACAACACGTGAGTGGACAATGATCCACTCTCCAACAAGCGCAAGTGGGCAGTAATTTTGCTGCCACATTTAGAAAAAACAGGGTTCCTCTGGATTCCAATACGTTTTGTTTGGATACGTTCATGAATCAGCATGGACCGGAAATAACCAATCTTATTGGTCCACTTTTCCTATAGAAAGGGAAACAATTGAGACGGTTGCACACACACACTCGGCGTGAAAGAAAGAGAGAGAGAAAGAGAAATGGAGAATCTTCAATGGAGGCTGTTTCCTGTGTTGACACTCGTCGCTTCTTTTCTCTTCTTGCTCTACTTTCGTGAATCTTCCGAGGTCTTTTAACGACGCCGTCTAACTTTCTGTCTTTGCATGTGTTTGTTAATGTACTGTTTTCGTTTTCTGTGAAGGATCTTCTGTTTGGTTAGTGAAAAAATGGAGGAAAATATAACTTCGATTTTATAGATCCTATTCAATTCCAATTTCACACGGACTATTTATAGTTTGTTACTTTGTTTTCGTGAATCTTCCGAGGTCTGAGAACGATACCGTTTAACTTTCCGTCTTTGCATGTGTTTGTTAATGTAGTATTTTCATTTTATGCGAAGGATGTTCTGTTTGGTAGGCGAGAAAATGGAGGAAAACATAACTTTGATTTTATATATTCTATATTTCGTTTTTTATTCCAAATAGAGTATTCATGGTTTGTTTCTGGTTCTGTTTGTGTTCGGAGTTACTTTCTTCAGCCAAAATTTGAATCCACCGCTCAAGTTTGTAATGATGAATTCTCAATTAATTTCTAGTTTATTTTTTAATTGGTGTTACTGTACTTTAGTGAATCTTCCGAGGTCTGATAACGACACCGTTTATCTTTCCGTCTATGCATGCGTTTGTTAATGTAGTAATTTCATTTTCTGTGAAGGATGTTCTGTTTGGTTGGTGAGAAAATGAAGGAAATTATATAACTTTGATTTTCATAGACTGTAGATTTCAATTTCAATTCCAAATAGTGGACATCGTTTGTTTCTGGTTCTTTTTGTAGACAGAGTTATTTTTAACTGCCAAAATTTGAATCCAGTGCTTAAGTTTATAACGAGGATCCTCAATTAATTCTAGTTTATTTTAATTGATTTTACTCTACTTTCGAGAATCTTCCGAGGTCTGATAACGATTATGTTAACTTTCTGTTTTTGCATGTGTTTGTCAATTTAGTATTTTCAGTCTGTGAAGGATGTTCTATTTGGTTGGTGAGAAAATGGAAGAAATAAAAGATTAGGGGAAAATAACTGAACAAAAAAACAGTTATTTATTTATTTTATAGACTGTATATTTCAATTTTAATTCCAACAGAGCATTTCATAGTTTGTTTCTTGTTCTGTTTGTGTACAGAGTTACTTGCTACAGAAAAAATTTGAATCCAGCGCTCGGGTTCATAACGATGAATTCTCATTTAATTTATAGTTTATTTTAATTGATGTTGCAGCTGTCTCAAAGTGTGTGTAGTCTTCTTCCTTATGACCACTACTGGATGACCGGCAAGCGGGTGGTCACGCCACAAGGGGTTATATCTGGTGCAGGTAATTTTGTGTCTTTTATTTGATTTTTAACTAGATTTTAATGATTTTATACTTCATATTTGTTTTCCTAAGTTAAAAAAATAAATAAACAACTAAATTTAGCTCATAAGCAGAAGTGAAATTGACTTGGTTTGTTTGATAAGATAGGAAGAACATGTTAAAGTGATTAACATATCAATTCTATAAATAATTTTTTGTTTATCTATCACGACCTAATTAATTGATATTAATTTTCAAACTTGAGAATAAACAGTTGAAATAAAGGATGGCAATATCATATCCATTGTTAAGGCAGAGGATTGGCGTAAGAAGTCCAAGACGGTACCAGTAATTGATTATGGAGAGGCTGTTATCATGCCTGGCTTGATTGATGTGTAAGACTTGAAAATTATCCCCTTTATGTATATGTTTTAGCAGATGAAAACAAAAAAGTAAGGATTTCTTCGTCGAGCTTAACTGACAGCTTGACAAATGCATTATAACTCAAAAAATTCAGGTGTTTCGTTAATATTAAAAGTTGAACATTCCAATTTCTGGATTTTGCTTAGCCATGCAAAACTATCTTCGTTATAAGTAAGAATTAAACATATCAGATTTATGAGTGCTAAATATGAGATAAAGTTTCTTTATTTGGCGATGTCCATGACAGGCATTCGCATCTTGATGATCCTGGAAGAGTTGAATGGGAAGGATTTCCTTCAGGGACTAGAGCGGCTACTGCTGGTAAGCTATTATTCTTGTATTTATTACCTACCTGTGAAAATGAAATTACTGTTTTCCAACAAATTTTCTGTATCTTATGTTTCTTCAGGTGGTATAACTACATTGATTGACATGCCCCTAAATAGTTATCCCTCAACTATTTCTACAGAAACTCTGAAACTCAAGGTATGAAGAGTTGAGTAAGAGTTAATCACTCTGTTTTAATTGTCAATATATTGGTTCTTATGAATTTAAAGTTTCATTGTAGTTTTCTTTTGATAGCAGTTGTACCACACATGACTAACTACTACTCTGTATCATAATGTTGTTGGCGTTGGTGTTATAGATTGAGGCTGCCAAGAAGAATATCTATGTTGATGTTGGTATGATCTTGAAACTATTCTGTAGCCAACTGATTTATGAAAAATTTCTGTTTGTTAACCATGCTATATAAACAGGTTTCTGGGGAGGCCTGGTTCCAGAAAATGCTTTCAATGCAACTGCTCTAGAAGCTCTCCTCAATGCTGGTGCCCTTGGATTGAAGGTAACTATCTAAGGAACAACTTTAATGAATTATTTTTCCTTGTTACATGCATAGAATAGTATATCAGTTGCATTAGAACATGTTTTGCAGCTTAAATTTCTGATACATGTACTCCTAATACAGATTCCATTAATGTTGCTCTAAATTCAAGCAATGACCATATAGTACAAACTTCTATGAGTTTACAATTATTTACAGATCGAGTTACTTGTCGGTTTACTAATTCAACAATGTCAATGTCATTAGGTTGTATGTGCGTGTAGTATTATTTATATTGATTTAAACTAACCGATTTCCCTAGTAAATGTTCCTCTATGTTGTTTAATATTGAATTTATCATCTAACAGCTTTCCTATTTCTATTTTGTAGTCTTTTATGTGTCCTTCAGGGATCAATGACTTTCCTATGACAAATGCTAGTCATATTAAGGTTTGTTTGCTGATGCACGAGAAAGCTGAGTTTCCATATGAATTAGATAGCAGTCTTTGTAATGTTAATATAATTTAGTTTGTTCTCTTTGTTTTCTAAATTTGGTTCTTCCAGGAAGGCCTATCTGTATTGGCAAGATACAAAAGGCCTTTACTTGTACATGCTGAGATTCAGCAAGACTCTGAAAGTCACTTAGAAGTTGCACATGGTAAAAATGATGCTCGATCTAATTCAACCTATTTGAAGTCTAGGCCGCCTTCATGGTAAGATTAACTCCTTTTAATTTCAAGTACTTTATACACATTTTCATTAAGTTATGATTCTTTGAAAAAAGAAAAGTTGTTTAGTACCACTTTTTCCTTGAAAGCCAGCGAGAATCAGATCTGCTGTGGTGTTTTTCATAGGAATCTAATATATTTCTCATTGCTTTGATTTCTGGTTTTGTCATTTTACATAAGTTATGCTTTCCTTGACCTCCCAAACAGGGAAGAGGCAGCTATCAAAGAACTCTTGACAATAACAAAGGACACAAGGTCTGGTGGCCCTGCAGAGGGAGCTCATCTTCACATTGTTCATCTATCTGATGCTAGTTCTTCCTTAGATCTTATAAAGGTATCTATTAAAATCTCTTTTGATGGTTGTTGATAAATTTTCTGCAATATGTTCCTTTTACATAGATGATCTCAGCTGTCAGTTTATCTGATTTTACTGAGAGGAACATAACTGAGATTGTTTATCCATCCTCTTTGTTTTCGTTTCTTAACTATATTATCTATCCTTTTCAGTTGTTTTCGTTTCATATCTTTTTTATTCTTTTTCTATGCAGGAAGCAAGAAACAATGGTGACAGCATAACTGTTGAGACATGCCCCCATTACTTAGCTTTCTCAGCTGAAGAGATTCCGGATGGAGACACACGTTTTAAATGTGCTCCACCCATTCGAGATGGAGCAAACAGAGAAAAATTATGGGAGGCTCTAATGGTACTTAGATATTCATATATATATATATATATATATCATGGTTTCCTCTCTCATCCCTGATTTTAAATTTTTGTTACAGGAAGGACAGATTGATATGCTAAGTTCAGATCATTCACCAACCGAGCCAGAACTTAAACTCCTTAATGATGGTGACTTTTTAAGAGCTTGGGGCGGTATCTCATCTTTGCAGGTATGTTTTTTAGTGCAAGGAATAAAATCATATGAATTGTTATTGTAATTTTGCCACTGATTTTGGACACTATGGGCATTATTTCGAGATTATCTGCAGTTTGTTCTTCCAGTGACTTGGTCATATGGGCAAAAATATGGAGTAACTTTAGAGCAATTAGCTTCATGGTGGAGTGAGAGGCCTGCCAAGCTTGCTGCACAACATTCCAAGGTTTGCAAAATTATCTGAACTTATCTTTTCATCAATTTTGTTAATGGATCATGTCACATTAATTTGAAATACATTTTGCAGGGGACCATTGCAATTGGAAACCATGCTGACATTGTTGTATGGGAACCTGAAATGGAGTTTGACCTCAACGATGACCATCCTATTTACATTAAACATCCAGTAAGTGTTTCATAAATTTTTTCTCAACATAGTTATTCATTGTTTCCTTTGTGTCTTATTTTCCCCCTTGTACTGTTTTGTGTATAGCATCTTAAGATGCAATTCTAACATCAAATTTCTGCCCCCGTACCATGGGTATGGCGGTGAGAAACAGAAGGAATTCGTACATTGACATTAGCAGCAATTTTTGTGATGTTTATACAAATAAATGGGTAAAACTAAGGGCTAAGACTATACCTAAAAAATGATAATCTATCCACTAAAATTATATATTTCAAAATTGTTAAATAAAACTCTAGATATAGACATCTAATCTCACTTTGTATACTTCTATATTTCAAAATTGTTAAATGAAAATCTAGATATAGAAACCATTCAAAGCTCTCTAAGTTCAAAATGCCAAATTTTGAAGGGTATGCTTGGAATTCTACCTTAGAGTGGGGATACTTCTGAATCTAAGTAAATTCCTATTAAAAGATACAGTATCTCCTTAATATGTACTCAGTTTTATTAATCCTATTCTTGTGCAGGTATCTTTTAAGGGCCCATTTGGTTTTAATCCAAAATAATATTTCAATATGTATTTAATATTTTAAAATATGTTTATTAAATTATTCTGACTTCAAAAAAAAAAAAAAAAACTGACATTTTTTTAAATTTTGGGATTAATTTTAAAAAATGTTTTAAAAAATATTGTAACTCATTTGGACTAAACATATTATTGTAAGATTTTCATATATTTTCAATAAGAAAATTATTGCATTTAAATTCCATATTGAAAATTTGAATATGGGTTTTCTAATGTTGGAATCACATTCTATTTAGCAAATCTCTGCGTACCTCGGAAGAAGACTCTCTGGAAAAGTATTGGGCACATTTGTTAGAGGAAATCTTGTCTATAAAGAAGGAGGACATGCTCCCGCTGCCTGTGGTGTACCAATCCTAGCCAAGTGAACTCAGGAGTAATTCCCATTACTTCATCTTTTGTTTGTTTTCTTTCTCTGGTTTTATGTTTTCCTCACCCTCTGGTTTGTATGATCTCTTCAGAACATCTCCACGTTCCAAATCCAAACTTCCCATCACGATCACCAATAAGAGGAATGGAGGGAGAGGGAGGTTGAATGATATAATGAAAAGTGAAGTAAAGATCATCACTATCCAATACTAAGGCTTGGAAGAAAGCCATGGATCAAGATAGTGCAGTGTTTATAATTGTCAGTTTCAGTGGAGGATGTGGATGAGCCGTCAGTAATCTCTGACATCTCATCATAAATGACTTGTACCTCTATCAGTAAATGAAGTTAAATGCATTTAAATTTATAAATTTGAAAAACTCAATCAATCTTTTTTTCCTCTTGTTCAATATCACCAAATAAACCAAGACAAACACAACCAAATCAACATGAAATACCACGATGTGATGTAAACCACACATACAAAACTTTCACTACCAAATAAACGGGTTATAGCAAGTTTCTTTCCTAGGGGCATACACCTAACAAGTACATCCACGCAAAATTTGGGTTTCTCAACAACAAAACAAAATAGGAGAAGAGTTGACGATGCAAACCGTTTGATGTAAAGCTCGGATTACCATCAACAACATACTGAAATTTCATAGAAATCAGAGAAAGTTTCACCGTTGGATTTGAGCTCCTAAAGCCCCCCAAAAAACCCCATTTTCTCTCTTCTTTTACACTCTTCCTTTCAACACTGAGGGGCTGCACTTTTCAGAAGGTAAATTTGCTTTTGTGTGTTGTTTTTTCGTTTACTTGTTTTGGGCTTTGGGCTTGCAAGCCAATTCTGTTAAAGCCCACACTTAGGTGGACAGCCCAACACATAACATGAGAGGTCATATAGGTATTGCTTAAAAGTATGGTTAACTCCACGACTCAATCTTACAACTTTCTATCACAATCTCCATATGGTAGTTTGTAATTAATCTATTCATAAATAAGTTTTATCTACGTATTAAGAGTCTCACCTACTAATTACAAATTATCACATCGGAGATGAAGATTATAAAATTAGATTATAAACATAAACCAAAATAACTTTATTTGATTTTATCAATGTATTCCGTTGGAAGAAAGACGAATTGGATTTCACGGAAATTAGTATGGGTTAGTTTATGCCAATTTGGATTAAAGATTCGCCTAAAATTATCCAGTTTCTAAAATTTGGTTAATTTATTAATACCCGTGATATTGAAAAAGTTCCAGAATTGAATTCGTGAATTTCTTTCATCTTGGCTTCGTTTGGTTCAAAATTTGGGGGTTTTGGGAAAAGTTTTTTGAAAAAAGTTAAAAAAAAAGTTGAATTGGGCGGGTATTACGATGTAGAATTTATAAATTAATAAAATACCTTTTATGTTTGTTTTTTTACAAAATACCCCCTATAATAAAACATTAAAAGTTAACAAAAATACCCCTAACCCACCCTCAAACACCCCCAGCCAGCGACCACCACCGGAGATGGCCGGAGTCGCCTTATGGGCGCATGACCGGTTGGATCTTGTCAGTCATGCGTCGCTATGGCCTTTTCTGGCCAGATCCACGGTGGATCTGGCCGGAAAAGGCCAGATCTGGCCGTATTTGCTCTCAACAACGGCCAACAAACGGTGGTCGTTGATGGTCAACGACGACCGTTTGTTGGCCGTCGTGACCGAGTGTTACGGCCAAAGATCTGGCCGTCAACGGCCAGATCTTTGGCCTTAGATCTGGTCTTTTCCGGCCAGATCCACGGTGGATCTGGCCGAAAAAGGCTAGATTGGCGCACTACCGGCCAGATTCAGCCGGTAGTGCGCCATCCTACCAAATTCTGGCCATTTTCTGGTAGTGGGGGCCGAAATCTGGTAAATATGGATTGTTGGGGTGTTTTTGTAATTTAAAAAAAAATATTTAGAGGTATTTAATTAAATTAACAAATTTAGAGGGTTTAAAAAAAATTAAATAATATTAAAAATAATATTCCCAAAAATGAGAGATTTTGAGTATTTTACTGTTTAACTTTTTTGGGAATACCAAGAGTAGTATTCCCAATCTTGAACCAAAGCGGAGCCCTTAATTTTGTTGGCATTCTCTACCAATCATAATTCATAGGTTCGTAACCCAGATGGTGCCACGTCAGTAACAGTAACACAGAGCCGTGCGACCCTTCGAACTGAAATGGATAAGACAGACACAATATAGCGGAAACTACAGCTTTCTCCAATCTCCACTGCTCTTCCAATGCAACTCTCCAATCACTTTCTCTCCCTCCAAAACCCTCCAATCCTCTTTCGTCATCACAACCACACGCTTATCTGCAAATCCACCACTCTTGCACTCGCGAACTCGCCCAAACCCAGCGCCTCTGAATCTCTCCAACAAGAAACCCTCAGAAGCCTGGAATGGCCCACGCTTTGCCACCAACTCTCCTCCTTCACACAGACCTCCATGGGCCTTTCCGTCGCCCGAGAGGCCCGAATCCCCTTCGGCAAATCCCCAGACCAGAGCCAGAATCTTCTGAATCAGACTTCGGCCGCCCTGGCGATCATGCAATCTCAGCAGATCGATTTGTCTAAAATCGAAGACATCTCCAGAATTATAAATTCCGCTGTTTCGGGTCAGTTGCTTTCTCTGAGTGAAATTTGTGCTGTTAGAAGGACACTGAGAGAGGTCAGTGCCGTGTGGGAGAAGCTAAAGAAGGCAACGGCTCTGAATGGAGATTCTTCGGAGAGGTATTAATATCATAGTCTTTGTCTTCATCTTTTTAATTATTGTTATTGTTTCACATTTAAAATGTATAAATTGTTGGTTGATTAGTGTCAAGTTTATGGCCTCAACGGAGAGAAATATTTGTACAGAAAGAGTAAGTAATTTTTGTGTTTTAGATTATTTAAATTATACCCCGTATGAAGAAATGTTAGAATTATGGGTTTTCAATGGTTCCCCCGTATGAAGAAATGTTAGAATTATGGGTTTTCAATGGTTCTGGTGTCTGAAGGTTTTGCTAATTGACTATTTGACGAACTAGTCCAATTAAATGGTTGAGGCATTAGTCTAGTGTTTGATGAGTTTCTAACTTTCCAAAGATTGTAACTTTTGGAGGGAGTCTTAATTTTTAACTTAAGTTTGCTAAGCATGTTTGCGAGATTTTTGGGTTAACAGAAAAGATGTGTGATCTAGCAAGAAATAGAAATATGGTGGACCTCTGTTGTAATGCATATCAAGTAGGCTTTAACTGATTGGAAAATGGTATATTCTTTTTCTTCTGGAAAGAGTTTATTGCTCAAAATTTCTATTTAGATTGTTAAGTATTTTGCTAGAATTAATTAAGACTGAAAAAAGGTAACATTTTAATGTTCTTTATGTTTGAGATGATAGACAACTACTTAATTCAGCGCGTTCATATGCTAGGGATATAATTTTTTGTATTAGGCATCGTGTGCTTTGAAGGCCTTATTGTAAAATGATCTTGTGTAAGTAATATATCTAATGCATTTGTGGATAGGTCATCTTTTTTGCTTGACACTAGATGGAGAGAGGCATAGGTCTTACAATAGTGATGGATTCTTGTGTCTCAATATGGCCTGGAAAATCATTTTGAAGGTACTGTTGCATAAGGAGTGCATTGTTATTTCTTTTTTTTTTTTTAAAAAAAACTAGAACAAAAAGCTGGCTTCATGAAATCCAATTTAGTAACGAAGAGCAGTTTCATGTGGTCTCATCTATCTGATTGTATTCTGAACAGGTATTCTCCTCTGCTTGAGATACTCAAGGGTTGCAATTTTCAGACGGGGTTAGAGCAAAAAATAGGATTTTGCATTGACTGCAATCTTTCAATTATCCTTGACAGAGCTAGTGAGGATTTAGAGGTTATTAGGGCAGAAAGGAAAAGGAACATGCAAAATCTGGATTCTTTATTGAAGGACGTATCAGCTAAAATTTATCAGGCTGGTGGCATTGACAAGCCTCTAATAACCAAGCGTCGTTCTAGGATGTGTGTGGGTATTAGGGCTTCTCTCAAGTATTTGCTTCCAGATGGTGCAATTCTAAATGTTAGTAGTTCTGGTGCAACATACTTTATGGAACCCAAAGATGCGGTGGAGTTGAACAATAAGGAAGTAAGGCTTTCAAACTCTGAGAAAGCCGAGGAGATGGCCATTCTAAGCCTGCTTACATCGGAAATAGCGAAATCTGAAATTGAGATAAAATATTTACTCGATAGAGTTCTAGAAGTTGATCTTGCTTTTGCAAGAGCTGGGTATGCTCAGTGGATGAATGGGGTCTGTCCAGTTTTAAGTTCAGAGAATCATGAGGGTTTTAATTCCTGTGGAAACAATTGTTCTTTATCAGTAAACATTGAAGGTATTAAACATCCACTGCTCCTTGCTTCCCCTTTAACACCTGTTGTTTCTCCCAACTCTAGAAATCCAGCCCTGTTGGAAGTGACAAATGGTGTAACGAATATTGGAAGTTTGTCAAAAGGTGTTTCTGATTTTCCTATACCAATAGACATAAAAGTTAAGCATGGGACCAGAGTAGTTGTGATCTCAGGACCTAATACAGGAGGGAAAACTGCTTCAATGAAAACTCTGGGCCTGGCATCTCTTATGTCAAAGGCTGGCATGTTTTTGCCTTCTAAGAACAACCCAAGGCTTCCATGGTTTGATCTTGTTCTTGCAGATATTGGGGATCATCAGGTAGCATTTTACCTTGTTATAACAGATAATTTCTTAGGGTTTTCTTTTTGTAGCTTGTTCTAACTCTGTCTTCTTTGTTTGAAGTCTCTTGAACAAAATCTCTCGACTTTCAGCGGGCATATATCAAGGATTATTGAAATCATGGAAGTTGTTTCAAGAGAATCACTTGTCCTCATTGATGAAATTGGAAGTGGAACTGATCCTTCGGAAGGTGTAGCTCTGGCTACCGGTATCCTGCAGTATCTGAAAGATCGTGTTGGTTTAGCTATTGTTACTACTCATTATGCTGATTTAAGCTGTCTGAAAGACAAAGATTCTCAGTTTGAGAATGCTGCCATGGAATTTTCAATGGAAACTCTACAACCTACTTATCGAATTCTTTGGGGAAGTCGTGGTGATTCAAATGCACTGACTATTGCTAAAACAATTGGTTTTGATAGAAATATAATTGAACGTGCAAAAGAGTGGGTGGAGAGGTTAAGGCCAGAAGAGCAGGAGCAGTGGAAAGGTGTGCTGTATCAATCATTAATGGAGGAAAGAAGCAAATTAGAAAGTCAGGCCAGGAGAGCTGCATCTCTTCATGTAGAAATTATGGATCTTTACCATGAGGTATAGTTTTGACAAATTTTTAGTCCCGAACAACATGCTTTTATTTCTTTTTTGACATTCCTTATATATTGATTTTCTTTGAATTTGTACATAGGGTTAAGATTAAATCTGAAACCTCAATTCAGTTTTATTAGGTTCTGGGCATTGGAAATGATTGATTCTTTATCACATGAGCCAACTGGGAGTATTAAATTGCCAAGTTATTATGCATAACTTACCCTGTGAACTTGGGCTTGCTCTGCCTGCTGACCTTGACGGTTGACAACCAGACAAACAACTGAGCATTGATCCCATTTTTTTATTTTGGCCTTCATCTTTGTATCTAGATTCCATGTTTAAGTTCTATTGTTGCTTATTCTTAAAAGATTTTTGCTAAACTTCCAATCTGCTTGGTCAAAAGCGGATTTTATGAGCTGCCCAAATTATTTCACATGAGTAGGAGCATATATTTCATCTGCTTTTGTGAGGGATATGGTTTTGAAAACAAGATGGAACTCAAGAAATCTAGGCCATGCAGATATTTTATAAATAAAGTCTTCACAAATTCTCATCATTAATTTTCAGTGTCTATTTAGTTACTTTGGATTCTGAGGGCAAAAGATTTTCCTTGCAGTTTTCAGATTATTATGGTGATTTAATGTTTCTATCTCTTTTCCTATCCCTTTTTTAATTTGTGGTTGTAGATTCAAGATGAGGCAAAAGATATAGATAGACGTGAGGCAGTTCTCAGGGCAAAGGAAACACAACAGGTCCAGCAAGAACTAAATGCTGCAAAGTCAAAGATAGAAACTGTGGTCCAGGAGTTTGAAAACCAACTCAAAACTGCCAGTGTTGATCAGTTTAATTCTTTGATCAAAAAATCAGAATCTGCAATTGCATCAATTGTTGAAGCTCACCGCCCCGCCGATGATGTCTTTGTCAGTGAAAAAACTACCATTTCATTTACACCCAAATTTGGGGAGCAAGTGCATGTGAATGGCTTGGGAGATAAATTGGCTACTGTAGTTGAAGCACCTGGAGATGATGAGACCATCTTAGTCCAATATGGTAAAATAAGGGTTCGTGTGAAGAAAAACAACATTAAGCCTATTCCCAGTAACAAAAGAAATGCTGCAACTACCTCCACCCCACATTTGAAAAAGCAGGTATGATCAGTTTTTTACTTGACACAAAAGCTTAAATTAATAAGGGCCCAATAATTGTATTCAAGCTCTAAAAATATGTATAGTTCTCTAGAAAAGTCGAGACATTATTTTGGTTGCTTAATTTGTTTCTCTTATGTTAAGTCTTCTTTTTTGGAAGAATACGTTGACCATGAATTAGAGTACCTATTTCCTATTGGATAAGTAATCCATCTAGTTTACATCCCAAGGTTTGATAGATTGGATGACTGGTTTCTCAAGCTGACTTTGAAATGGGTTTTAACGTCTTTCTATATCTTCACATTTTCCAGCCCCTTATGTTTTCTTCCATATGAAGATGATAATTTCATGTCATTGTCAACTTATTACTGTAGTTGTGCAAAACACTTATCTGAAATTCCACCAACACCCTTGCTGTGTAAAGATTTTTTCCTTCATTCATGTTGTTTTTCTACTTGGTCTGTATTTTCCACAAATCTGTTGCTGGTGAAACATGGCTTTTTGATGGTCAGAATTATGGTAAATTCATATATATGTAGGTTTCATTGAATCTCACTGGCATTGTTTTCATTCCACCCCTCAGACTTCAGTAGATCTCTATGGCTTGTTTTCATTCTCTCGTTCTTCTAAATTCTGCTATGACATGTGGTGCATCATTGGAACTTCATGGCATAATTTTATTCTCAGTACAATGCGAACCTTTAGCAGTTTTGTAGATTCTTTTATGACTTGTCTTAAGGTGTGTCCTTAAGGCACACGTTAAGACCACGAACAGATAAAAGAACTTGATTTTTTTGATACACTTTATTACCCAATACATTGATGTGATCATTTTTTTATCTGTGTGTGATTTTAACGTGTAACCTTGGGACATATGCATTTAATAACTGTAGCACATGGATTTAGTAAATAAAGGCTCCTCCCTTCACTTAGATATTTAGTTATACTAGTTTTAACTAGCATAAAGATAGTTCCATTTGTGCCATTTTCGGGTAATTTTTCTATCTTTATCCTGCAATGCTTACTATGATAAGCTGAAATTATGTTAGGCATACCAGAGCAATGAGTTCCAGAATCATTCAATGGGAAGCAATGATGAAGAGGCACCTTATGGCCCCCGGGTTCAAACATCCAAAAATACTGTGGATCTCCGTGGAATGCGAGTAGAAGAAGCTGCTCACCACCTCGATATGGCCATCTCTGCAACAGACTCACGTTCAATTCTCTTTGTTGTACATGGTATGGGCACCGGGGTTGTTAAAGAACGTGCACTGGAGATACTGAGAAGTCATCAACGCGTGACCAAGTATGAACCAGAAAGTCCAATGAATTATGGTTGTACAGTTGCTTATATCAAGTAAAATATGTATGATTATCTCATCAAATGGGCTTGTATTGGTATGAATAATGTGTTTATGATTTAGGTTCTTTATCAATCTTTGGCTGACTTGGCCAATTTTGATTTGTATGTGAATGGGATTAAATAACTCCTGTTTTTCGTAGTCTTCTTTTGGAAAGGGGGGTGTCCCTTTTAAAATTTGAACTTGGGTGTAGGAAAGCAATGCTCACATGCTTCATCATCCATCCAGATGTCACCTTGGACTTTTCTGAATAGTTCAATCATTTCTATTTATTGGAAAGCTCAACAGACTGGTGAGTCCACCGGAAGATAAAGCAAAACATGTTGGCTCTATCCTTGTACGTTACCCTTTACTTTAGCTACATGTCATACACGTATGACAAGACAGAACTTAGAGCTGCCACATGCATAATCCCACGCAAGACTCTTGTAAGTTTGCTAACTGCATTTGTGTTTCGGTTAGGACATATAGAGATAAGTTTACATTATTTATTCTGAGATATACACACAGTTCTAGCCTTAGCACAAGCCTGGAGCACTCTTGAGATTTGCAGGAAAAATGTTAGCTGTGTTCGAGAAAGCAATTGGCAACCCACCTGAGGAATTGAGTCTTCCCTCTACTGGGTTGACAAATTCTAAAAACCGGCAAGAAATTGCGGAGATTTTTCAGTCACTATGGCCGGAGTCAACCCTGTTCAACCACTCAAATGGGAATTTCATGGCTTTGTCACATGAAGATGAAAGTCCATTGCTTCCTAGGTATTGAAGTCCAATCGATCTTGTTCAGTTTTTAATGCATGCATAGCTGTGTCATTTTCTACTTCGGTCCTGGTATTTCGAAGTGCAAGCCCAATTGATATTTGCCTTTACTGCTCTTAAATATGAATGATATATGTGAGACTGCTAGCTCAAAGAAGTTGAATTTAGCTCGGGAAATACGAGAATAAAATAAATTTAACTTTCAACATAAATATGCATGTTAAAAGGAAAAGCTGGCAAGCTCAAACTTTCTTACTGAAAATTAACCCATTCTCAACATCATATTAAGAAACTTTGCTTGTTTTGAATTTAATCAGGTCTATCGTTGTCATGGATGACATCTTTTGCATATTTATTGGGACTCTAGAAAACATGTGTGAACTTAAGCGACACTATGGTCTTTCAAGACAAGCAACAGAAGCAATGGTTTTGATTGAAGCTTATAAGGTCCTAAGGGATCGAGCACCGTATCCACCTGATCAAGTCGTCAAAGATCTTGAAGGAAAATTTGCATTTGTTCTCTTTGATGCTAAATCTCATACTCTTTTCACAACCAGGGTGAGTTCAATCTCATACTCTTACAATAGTGTTTTTGTACATGTAACATTGTTAAATTATTGTTCACAATGTTAACTAGGACCGTGATGGTAGCGTGGATTTCAAATGGGGAATGGCTGGCGACGGGTCCCTGATATGTTCTAATGACACCGACATTATTAGAGAAGCTTGTGGAAAATCTTGGGCTCCTTTTCCTCCAGGTTAGCTCTAATATTCTTTCTTACCTTTTCCTTGATTGATGCTCGTTTGAATTAGAAATTTCTGAAACCGGGGTAACTGGTTTCAGGTTATACAATCAGAGAAGCATAACAATGTACTGCTGAAGAATGTTTTTCACTTGTTTACACAGGATGCATTTTTATGAATGGAACCGGGCTTATGAGCTTTGTTCATCCACTTCATAAAGTTAGAGCAATTGTGCGTGAAGATGACGATGGACAAATTTGTGGAGTTACTTTTCAGGTGGACATGTTCACGCGGCTTCGCAGCATTCCACGCACTGGTAGTGCTGCAAATTGGGCAGATGCCGCTGTCATCGAGGCAGAATGATGTGTCGCCTGGTGAGAAATCCAACTGAACTCTGTAGACTAGTGTTATAAAACCTTCAAAAGTTGAAATGGAACTTGTTTATGAGTTCTTGTCTGATAAACCAGAGTGGCTATGTGCCTTGACAAAATCTGGTAATTGCATGCCTTTATCAGAACGTTGTTTATGTTTGCTATTGATTGTCTTTGGCTTTTAGTAAGTAATTAAATGCAATTTTGAGAAAAAAAATTAGTCATTAACGGATTTCATCGCTCTACAGAACTTGAAGAAATGTTGTAACCTTTTCTAATAAACTGGAAAGCTATAGTACCATTACCATATATAATTGAACCAACTGAAATTGATTCCGACTTCAGAAGATCTTATTCCATATTAAACATAAGGCATGCCTTATCATACAATCAAGTACATTAGTTTCTATTTTGATATGCCCAGCCAGAGTTGGGTGCTACAGCTTCTGCAGTTTTACCCTTGTTTTCATAAGCCTGTTCTTGGTTGCTAGCATGCTCATTGTTGTCTTGCTTTGAATCATTAATGGAGGCATTTTCATTAAGAGCACTAGAACCAAAATCGAAAGACTGCCCAGTTCCACGTAAGGCATTACCATTCCAATATTGAGGCTGGCGTAACAACTTACAGACCAGAAACCCTTTCCCATAATAGACATGACAAGGTCGAGCAACACCGCCGCCAAAACTTACACCACGTAAAATGTCGTCACCAAGGCCAGACACCACAGTGCCTCCATCACCACTAACTCCACCATTGACACCCCCACCAATATTAAAACCAGGAATAACGATGCCACCGTGGGCACCACCACCAATATTGGCACCACCACCGATAATAAAACCAGGAATGCCGATACCACCACCAATGCCACCACCAAAGCCGCCACCAATACCACCACCAATGCCCCATTTTTCTTCACCATCGATATTATTATCTTGTTTATATGATTCTTCTTCTTTGACAGCTGGAAGCTCTCTCTGAGAAGAGAGGCATACTCCTGAGCTTAGTAAAATTAAATATACTAAGTTAACCCATTTAATTTCTGCCATTTCTAGATGACTTTTCATGACCTTAACCATCAAGTCTTTGAATTTATACTTATAAAACTGAAGCTAGTTGTGCATAGTTTTATCATTTGCAGTAAAAAAAGGCCGGAATTCTGGAGTTGGTTAAGTAGAGATTGCAAGTAAATGGAAAGACGCATGGTTCAGGTTGTCATGATTCTTGTATGAACCAAGAATCTGTGGGCTCTGTTAATCCAGTTTTACCATATAATTGGTGCCCTAAATTTTGATATTTACATCTAAGTGATTTTGACATTAATCTAAACCGTTATATAATGTTAATCATTTAAACAATAATCCTGAATTATTATTTTTACACTATTGCTGATATAAAACTTGTTCTTTATTGGAATCTGTTTAGTTGTACACTTTAAACAAAGCCAAATGCTGTGAGCCAAGTTTAACATAAAAATATATAGGAATTTGCAGCTAGATTAGGATGGATATATTTTATGCAAGAGCCTATAGTCAAACTGTAACGTGCATATATTAACATATAGTATGTAAATTATGTTTGGCTCTGCGTTCGTAATCTAAACAGTAACCTAATATGCCTGTCATCATTAGTTAAAATCACAGTATTCCCCAGACATTGCATGCAATTGCTAACTGTACACAGAAAACGCTATAACCGATAAAAAGAGGGAATGCATATTCACAGTCAGCAAGCTTGATGCTCTGAAGTTTGAGTGGCTCTATCACTCATCTACCTTTCGCTCTTCTTTGACGTTTATATTGCACCGATTACATTACACAAGGTTTTTCAGATATAAGTGATCAATGCAAACTATTCATCACTGCTCCTGTAAGGAGAAGAAATAATATTCAAGGCTCGTTATTAAACAGTGGACATTACTCAGAGAATTGACACGGAATATTCAATATGAGCTGCATGGGAAAGAACTGGGTGACTAGCAATGCACTTAACAAGATTTCCTCACCAACAAAAATACTCTGAAAAAAATGTGATGTTCACAGGTCTTTACAAGCTCTCATCCTCTTAGGTTGTAACTAGATACCATTATATCAGATCCGATTTATATTGACATGATGTTTAACCATCAGAAGCAACTAATCACCAGTCCACTATGAAATGAGATTAGAGAGGCAGAGAAGATAGTAAAATGTATTTACATGAGAAAACCGACCGCAATGACAACATTTCATTTGGCTCTTGGACTTCCTTTGCACATGTTTCTCCATTTATCCTTCAAGTCTATGGTCGTACGACCTTTCAGAAACACGGAACTACCAAATTCTAAAATCATCTTCCAAGGAATATTTCTATCATCGACACTAGTAGTAAATCTCTTTACCCCTTTCTGCAAAAGTAGAAGCAATATTAATATTTAACAATACATAATAAAAACAAAATTTTTCAATGATGGAAAGAAATGCTGTCACTCAATGAACCATGAATTCCAGATCATATTTCATAGTGTGAAAAACCAAATTTATAATCGCAAGTCTGATATAATCTAAATAATTATAATGCCTGCATGATATAGCACACGACACATGTAGTACTATATGCAATTCTTAAATTTTGAAAGCAAAAATACACGACATTAAATTTCAAACTTTCAAAAGATTTGTACCAAAAAATTCAATCATCTTATGTACAATACAACATGCAGAAGAAAGAAAATCCCTAGTTGTACATTGTGTTTGTTTGAAGCAACATATATATATAGACAAAACTTGTATAAAAAATGGGGCTCTTTAGCCTAACCCTATATATCAACTTACCTTAAGCATCTCTTCTTCTTTAGCTGTCCATGGAATTGGTTTTCGTCTCAACTGAGGAATTGCAGGGTATGTACTGGAATAAGAAAAATGTAAATCACCTGTTAATAAAATTACATCTATATGATGTGCTACTTTTAACTTTCTACTTAAAAAAGCATGCATGTGCAAATATAAGAGATAGCATGATTCTTACAAGCAATTTTGGTTCCCATTTTTACGTTATGTTTCTAAGAGTATCAAGTCTAAGGGTAGACAAAAGTCTAGAACTAGAAATGTCATGAAGCACTATGGATAAAAAACTTACTACTGCCTCTCTTGCCTGCGGACACGTATGTAATAATTAGAAATATTGAACTTATTGTTTTCCCCTTCAGCTTCTCTCAGATCCACAGGGGCTACATCTGTATCTCTACATGCTAAATTATCAGCATCAGACCTACAATTAGCTGGTGCTTGATCCTGTTGTTCTTCAAGCACTTTTACAGATGGGCACTCTTTAACCATATTCTTTTTCCCTACCTTTTCTCTGTTAGAAACACAAACTGTCGCACTAACTACATTTGCCATTTCTTCTCTACAAGGAAAATTGTTATTGAAACATGGCTCTGATTGATTCCTATTACCAATACTTTCCTGACATAGATGATCACTGAAATCATACACATGCTGGCCATTTTGTTTCATTTGGTTATGTTCTCGCCCTCCCAAGTGACCGTTCTCATAAATTTCCTTATTTCCATTTTGTCTTGAATGAGTTTTCTCTTTTCTGTGCAACTCCTTGGCAGGTTCCTTCGGGTGCTGCTCCAAACTCTTATGAAAAAATTTAGCTAATCTCTTCCTTGCTATGGAGGCTTTTTTCTTAGCTTCCAGGTATTCAGAAATTGCAAGAGAATATGCACAAAAAGGACAATAAAAATTTCCCGTTTCATCAAAGTTCACAGGGAAACCCAAGCAATTCTCGTGAACCACCAATGGGCAATTACTAGTGTTACAAACCAACAACTTACCATCTTTGTTACATTTCACACAAAGGTTTTGTTCTGTCAAGCTGCTTGCTACCAGGAAATCATTACCCAAGAAGCATTGGGAGCTGAAGAAATGACTCTTCCTCTTGGCAACATCAATTCTCTCATTCAGATATTCATCATTATCACTTGACATTTCTTCTTCATGCAAAGGCTCCGTCTGACCTTTGGACTCATCTGCATTATCATTTTGCTGAGTTTCCAAAAAGGCTGCCTCTGTTGATGTTCTTGGTTCAGTAACATTGACATCATCCACTAACACATTTTGAATAGATTCATCCCCAGATGTATCTTGAGGCATTTTATCAGGAATATGATCAACCACTGTTTGATTATGCTTGATTTGATCATCATTAAGATCACCATTCCGTCCAAGCCTCTCTGAACAGCCATCCTCTGGAAACTGGCTTTCCTCCATGCCTGCATCTTGAGATTGGTTTGCAACATCACAACCTTCTCCTTAATTAACTCCAACAACTCTTTCAGGAAGATTTTCTAACGACTCACAATGAGGCTGAGGAACTGAGTTCTGTTCTATAGATAGGTCAGTATAATTTGCATCCAGCTTAAGCTTTTTGACATTAGAATGGAGATCAAATTCCCCTTGGATTTCATTGAAGTCTCCTGCCATATTTTCATCATTAGCCAAATTATTTGACTCATTTCTGTTTCTCTTAGAAGGTAATAAATTTGTATTATGAGAATTATCTCCCGATAGTTCATTCCCATTTTCACAGGTAGGAGGGATCAAACTCTCATTCATAGCCGTTGTTTGGACATGAGTGCCTGCTTCATTAAATCTCCATGTCCTTGCATTATGATTGACATCATAAGTGTGGGTTCTGCCACTCCCATTTACACACATCAGTCCACTACTTTCCTTCAAGGAGGCAGCCAACGGATTATTACCTTCAAGAATCATATCTTTCAGCTGTTTGTAGACAACAATAAAAAGCACAATCACAAACAGCTAATTGAAATTGATAATCTACTATTCCTTCCCCTGCAACAAGAAAAGCAATAGAGCAAGAATTCGCTTTACCTGTTGTAAAGCACATTTAGGCATAAAAGCTCTTTTATGCATAATAAAGGGATGAACATCCCATTTCAACAACTCCGGTCCATCCACTTTGAGATCTGATGCCGATGTCTGAGAAACAAGAATTTAACAACTAAATTTAGAAAAAACCAGCCAGTACCAACAGGATTTCAAAAAGAAATGGCAGATTAAATTATTTTTATTTCTTTAAAGCCCGCAGCCTAACTATTAAAAATCAGAAAAAAAATATGTAGAATATTACCTCCTGCAGTATGTGTTGAAGAACATCTTCACAGCTTTCTGATAAAGCAAATCCAACTTTCTCCTTTGTATCTGAAAGGCAGTCATTAACATGTTCATTTGTATCACCAAACATATCCTCCAAACATCTAAAAGCAACCATTTCCCTCGCATTTTTTGCCAAATCCATAGGTAACTGTGGGGCCATTTCAACCAAATCTGAAATATGAAAAAGCCACAGCAGACCCTTATTAATAAAAACCTATCAAAACAAGAAGAAACCATCATATCCATCTTTAAGCACATACTTTCAATCTGCACATACATACCGTGTAAAACAGACGTGTCTACTTGCTTGAAGCTGGCTAAATACTCAATAATCCAAAGCCATGGAAGGTTTGGATTACCAGAAGAAAACTCAGTCACAGAAACCATTTATCGCAAAAATCAAAACTTCGAAATCGTTTGACCTTGTCCACGCTAGTACTCCATGCAATCGCTTCAGTTGATAAGCAAGCACTTAACTTAATCTAAATTTAAAACATAGAACAAATTGTAAGAGTTTTCCATTCAAAATTCAAAATTTGCACAAATTCACCAAAAACAAAAACAAAAATGCATATATCAATTAGGTTCAGTTCACAAATTTATGACATTTTCATCCGATGTTCACGGTATAAACAAAAAAAAGAAAACTAACGAAGGAGCAAGTATAATCCTTATTAGAAAAAGAAACAAACTGTCAGCTTCTTATGAGTAATAACTGCCAATTATACTTCAACATTAGTGCTTACATATGTCGTTGAATGCCTATTAGTACATAAAACAAATCAAGAATCAAGAAACCGTGTTATCCAGAGAAAAGGATATTCGATTTTGACCAAAAAAAAAAATATTGCAATTCGCTGGCATTTACTCGGAAGAAGAACCAAATGCTAAAAAGAAGTTCAAAACAACATAAAGAAATTCGAGGGAAGAAAAATAAAGTTGGAACAAGAAAAACCTTTTTCTAAGGCAGCTGCCGGGTACGGCATCGGAATTTGCAGTAAAACGGCCGGTGAGTTTTGAGAATGAGACGAGGTTCGATTAGGTTAGAGAAGAGAAGGGAATCGGCAAAAAATTATTATGTCAATTATTCCTCGTTCATATGTGGACAAGACCATGGTAACACAAAGACGTCGCCAAGTAGGACTTAACACATGTATTGTAAGGGTCCGATGGGGAGTTTTATGGCAGCCAATACGAAAGTAAACTATCGTAACAGTTTTGAAGATAAACAATCATATTAATTTTGAGAGGTTTTTAGTTACCAACTTTTAAAATACCCAATCCTTGAACGGTTCTGACAATTTTTTAATATGATAAATTTACATAAATGTCTAAAAAAATCTAAACTTCAATCCGTATTTAGGAGTTTTGTTTTTTCAATTACAAGGTAAGACTTTTTTATTTGTTTTCTACTTATTGGTATTTTATAACTTCAAATGTGATAAAATCTTCTTATCTTTCTATGTCATTCTTTGCGGTATCTAGAATAATTGAAAAATTGTAACTCCATTTCTTCAAGAAAATATCTAGAAATGAGATTTTAATCATTTTTTTTATGATTGTTTAAAATTATTTTATATTTAATATGGTTGGAGACGTGCATAATATGATTGATTTTTTATTTTTTTTAATATAATTGAGATAGTTTTGTAGTGGATAGAGAATTTGTGGAATAAAATTTTAAAACCAACCAAAACACCCTGATTTGGGGTGTTTTATAAACCCCTAAAAAATATACTACCAATCTAATTAAAAACCTCTTAAAACCAATGGAAAAAAAACTCCCAAACAGACCCTAAAATATTGTATGAATATCTCTTAATTCTATTAAATTGTGCAACTTATTTAATTTCTTTTTAATAAAAAAACAATTCTCATAGCTTTTCAATTTCTCTCTCTCTCTCTCTCTCTCTCTCTCTCTCTCTTCTATATAGATATATATATATATATATATATATATATATATAATATATATATTGTACGAATTTATCTTTGACATCCATTTCTAAACTTTTAAATTATAATATTTCTAATTTGATCTAAAATGCAATTATCTTTTGATAATACATATATTATTTTATTATTAGTTTTACTTTTCATGAACTAAATAATTGATACCTTAATATATGGTGTCATACACTTAGTACGACTAAATGTTATTCTAACCCAGTTATAAATACGTACGACAAAAAAACTGTACGGGAATTTTACGGTTATAATACGACAAACGTGAAAAAACGTTTATAAAAATCGGCCATAAAATTCGGATACGGGAAAAATAGGTACGGGTATATACGGTTTAATACGGTGCATTGTCATAATCTTTTTGAAAAATACGGCAATATTAATCTTAGTTTTAACACTTTTATGGACTACCTGGTTAAAATCAACATGCACTTCAAATGCAAAGTATTCAATTAACCAATAAACACAATACATAATACATAACTGAATTCAAATTATAGTCTCCAGACTCAAACACTATTTAGCCAAGATTCAACTATAGTTCAAATTAAACACATAAGTCAAACAAAATCAAATTCAAAGTCGAATAAGAGCTCCAAACAAATAAAATACACAATAATACAACAAAGATTCAATTATAGTTTGTAACAAAAACTCATAAAGTACATAAACAACAATAGTCATAACAACTCAAAAAGAGCATCGTCCAACCAAGCAATGTCATCATTATCCATTAAGTCATCCATGTAACCCCAACTGTTGGTGTGGAATTACATCTCGTCCATATGAATTTCTTCATATTCATAGTCTGGAAGCTCTCCCAATTTCTCAATTATAGGTTCCAAGTCACGACTCATCGTGGAAGTGAATTATCCATCATCATCGTGTTCATCCTCACATACACAAGTGTGTCAGCATTTCATTGTGACAACCTATTCCTTTTTTTTTGTTTGAGCAGCTTCAAAGCACTCCAATTTCTCTCACATGATGAAGCGCTACAAGGTGCCTCAGAATTCGATGGCATACTTCTTGAGCACAGGAAATCATCCCCATTGTAATCCCACCATATTCTTGCAAATGACATAAAACTTTCTTGAATATAAAGAGAAAAGCAATGTACATAAAGATATTGAAATTTTTTAAACACCTTACGAGGATGACTTGTTTGTAACATCGTTTTTGTCCGTTGCAGTAAATAAGGTACTGGCCTACTACATACAACTGAACCTCTCTCATAAATGGATGCTTTTCTTCTATTAGAAGCAGGTTTTCATGAATGAAATTGATGCCATCTTCATCTCCCTATCCTCTCTAAAATTTTGTGAGCAAAAGTAAGCTAGATTAGAAAGGCAGCTGCAGCTGTATAGGATGAATGATGTTGTTGACCCCGACGATTCTCAAACAATTCCCAAATTCTCTCATACTTGCTTGCCTCACTTTACATCTTTCTTTGATTGCAACTTTTGCCCTGTCATTGCTTCATATAAGTAACCAGCAGTAGATCCATCACCATCAACCAAACGAAGAACTCGACCAATGGCTCAATGGTTTTTATAACCTCCCTTCCTCTAGCCCAAAATCACTCTGAACAATTTCAGTGACCCTTTTACCTGATTCGGTCTTACAATAATCAAAACCCCTCCATTCAGATGAAGCAACAAGAGTCGAAGTTCATTCTCCAAATCCAACACATTGAAGCATTAAAAAATTTGAAGCAAATCTTGTGGCACAAGGTTGTCTTAATTGTCTATCTTTGGTGAACTCTTTCATTGCTGCATGAAGAACTGTGTACCGTGTCATAACATAACTATTATTCTTGCTTCATCTGTGGCAACTTTTACCCAATTAACTTCTTCATATATGTCTTTCAAAGAAGCTGAATTCCATGAGCACACACCTCTTCTTATACATTCAGGATACAATCCAATGAGCATGTCACTAGCAGATGTGAAATTGCTACCATTACAGTTATGAATTGCACAACATGATCTTGTCCAATTGATTCAATAACAGAAACAACAATTTCTTTCAGATAAATCCCAGTTTTTCTTTCTCGAAAACATCCAATGATTTTATAACACTGCACCACCAGGTGAATATGCCACAAGATAATAAAAGATCGATGCCTTATATCAGTCCATTATCGACATTATAGTGCAACCAGATCCAGATGTATCCCAAGAATGCTTCCACCATAGCAACATACTCACAACACATTTTCTAGATTCTGGAATTAACTTAGTTTGAAGAGTTGAATAAGAGTGGAAGCTTGTATCCTGCACCATATTCAGCCACTGCCTTGACAAATCTCCAAAAGCACCAGTTTGAACAACATTAAAGCATATTGTCTCACCACAAAACACTTCGCAAGCATTTTATCAACAACTCCTTGTCTTTTTTCTTATTCATTTCTAGTAAAGATGCTTGACTTTGACGTCTTTGGCTACCCTTAGAAAGTAATGAAAATGGTGAATCTGTTTCCTCCTCATGATCATTAGAGTTTAAAGCTAGAAGAACCGCTGAACTTTTTAATTTTTTGTTACTTCCACTTCCAGACAGTGCTACGAATGCACATGCTTGTCTCATGATTGACTATTCCAAATCTCAACATCATGGCCAGTAATTCCAGACAAGTGGCTTTAATTCTGTAAGCCCCCCCCACTAATACTTTTTGACAAATTACATTTCCATTTATTCCCTTGGAGCTCCTCAACATGCTCCCAAATTTTATCTTTTTTTCGTACCATATTGATTTGAGTCTGTATTTACAGAACATAAAAAGAACATCATCAAATACAAAAGAAAAAAAGTTAGCATATAATCTTTTTTTCTTTCCTACGCATTATAGCATGTAATCTTTTATTTCCTATGCATTGTATTTAGAATAATCATCTTTAATTTAGAAATTAGAATCAACTTTCAATATATCATTATTCAGAATAATTCGCAATAAAGACTATTACATTTTCCACAAAATTATGATTTGGTTCATGCGCATAAGAGACAAAAATAAGTAAAAAATACAGCTATATCTGCAATATCTTTCCATCTAAAGGCGCATAAAAATTTCAACTTCTAGTGACCTTACTCTATCCCCACACTACAATTAATGAGCATTATCTGATCATACAACTTGTGATTGGTTGCAATTATTTCTCCTAATACAATATTCCCCAGCTAGCCATTCATCTATCAAGTGATAGAAATTATGGGAAAGAAAGATGCTGTTATGAGTGAAAGAAAATCACAAAGTGCTGTTTTTTTCCTCTCACATGCATGAACAAACAAAATAGTCCCCTTTCACATAAATAAAGTTGCTTAATTGATTTCCCAAGTCTTCTTGATTTTTAATGGATTTTTAAATAGGCAGATGAGGCAATCAAAGAAAAATGAAGGGGCAAAGGTTTATTTAATCGACAATGTCTACATACACATGAATAATACATAGGGTACTGATATATTCTTGCTTTTCCATCTAATCATCTTAATTTCTCTACTTTGAATAATTATGAGGCAGACCCACTTGATGTTTGGTACTGATATATTCTTGCTTTTCCAGCTATATTCCAATTATGCACTACAGAAAGTTTGAAACCCACACACTCAATATTCCTATATATTTATTATTACTAAAAAATAAAACTAAATTTTGATTCTTCTATTCTCTCAAAACAAGGCTGCGAAAATGCAAACATGAATAATGTGGCTATGAAGATTTTCTTGAAGAATAATCCAATTCTATGCTTAATCAGAACAGCAGTGAAGATATATCAAAGAGTTTACAGTCTTGTATACAGATGCAACTTACATTATTTTTGCTACAACATTAGATCAAATGCACTGCGTTTAAGATCTCATTTACCATATGGTCTGCATAGCATTACTCACACTGCTTTTCTGCAATCTAATAATCTTTTTTCTCAAGGAACTAAAGCATTTTCAAGGATCAGATTAGATATATGTCTGAAAATCTTTCAGAACCTTTCTTTATACAGCCAAATCAAATGAACTGTTGGACTACTTTTTCTGATGGGATACAATTTCCAGTAAGCATTAATTATCAGTCACTTCTTTTTTAACAATATAACTTCCAAATTTTTCAGGGTACTCTGCTATATAGAATGAAATATTTTTCT